GCCTTACTGCCCATCTCTGGTCTTAAGTGACTTAGCAAATGTTTAAAACACCTCTGAAAATGGTCAGGTACAAAGACTGGACTGAAAATGAGTGTGAAAGAAGCCAATGTCCAAAGCAAAACTTTGAAAGACCTTCAGGAAGTGTGGGAAACTATTGCTTAAGAGCACTTAAAAATGTTAAGACAGTCTGGCTCCTTAGAAGCAAAACATAATGAAATGTAGCAAGATGAATAAAAGACATCCCATTTCACATGCCAAGAAAGAAAGTTATTTAAAAAATAAATACATTTCCACTTAGTGCTACAAGATTACCTGAACAACCGTGACATTTTTTTCTATGTTGCCTAATTAGGATTATGCAACCCTGAATATTAATTAATTTCCTACACCAAGTGCACACATCAACATTACAACCTGACTTCTGAGATATAACAGGATCATCTCCCACAATGAGACACTCTTAATTCCTTTAGTAGTTTCATTTCATGGGAAATTAAAAATGGCTGCCAAGAAAAAGGTTTTCTGAACACGCTACCTGAACAGACCAGAGGCGCTTACACTGTTGTGGAAGTTTCCATTTAATAAAGCCTGCAGACAAATGGTGAGCAGTAGCTAATATTCTTTCATCAGAAAAGAACAAAAACCCAAGCTTGGTCAGAGAAGCCAACATTGCTGGGGCAGTTGATTGGCAGAGTCTCTGCTTGAGCCCAGAATGGCCCTGAGTTTAAATACTTCCTACAGAAACAAAAGGCAGTACGCAGCTGTTTTCACACCTTTGGTCTTCACACTCCCTTGCTATCTCTTACAGTGGTTGAAGAGACAAAAGGCTCCACTACCTTTAGAATTGTCTGCTTTTCCTCCAACTTCCTGAGATACAATCACCCGGCTGTTCAATGGCATGAATGTGTTAGACGTTGAGACCTTTGGAGAATGTGAATAATACATACAAAAAATGCGGTGGTGCATTTTCCACAGTGACAAGCCAAAATGCCTGCTGTGGAAAAGGCCTTTAGTGAAACATACCACACCCCAAGGGCAGGGCAGGACACAAGACTTACTGAGGGTGAGGGGCAGACAAAGGGCAAATGCACACTATCTTAAAAGGAGATGGGGAACAGGGTGTCAGCACCCCTGGCCACTGTACCAGTGTTTTTCCTATGTGGGAGTGTTTTACTGTAGGGGGAGGAGATCAGAGGTTATGACTTGTGTGGAATTCTTTAGATCAGCCTTTAGAATAGGACTGCAGTGTGCTGATCTCCAGATGCATCTACAAGAGTAATGGGAAATAAAAGTATTGTGTGAAACTTGGAAACATCTCTGCGTGATCTGTGATTGTCCTGCTAAACCTCAGTGCTGCGTTCGATACTGTCGACCATAATATTCTATTAGAGCGATTAGAACGTGCTGCAGGTATTACAGGTTCTATTTCTCTCTCAATATCAGACTTGATTTAAACTTTGCTGATCAACTGGGCGTTTATAAAATATGCTGTGGCAAATAAATTAGCAGAAAAATAAATGGCCGAAGCCCCAAGATTATCTTAAAAACACTGTTAGTTAAAAACAAAGTATTGGTGTTATTCCTAATTTATTTTCACTCTTCTCATTTGAGCTCAGAGTGCATTAAGCTTTGACTGGTGAATTGAAATGATATTAGCAAAACCTTATCTTTCTGTCTGTGTAATAGAGCAAATAGAGGCTAGAAGGATTTTGCTTTGGTTCTATCTTACATAATGTCTCTCAGACAAAATATAATGAGTGAGCAAGAAAGAACCTAAAGGATTGTTACTTGAGCTTTTCAGTCACTCCACCAGATTTGAGAAAAAGATATAACTCACAAACATACAAAGACAGAAGTGTTAGTCTGTCAGGTGTGAAACACCTTCAAACTGCTGCTGCTTTGCCGTTGGCTTCCCCCATGTAATAGAAATTTGTTGTTCTGACGTGTCCTGATATCCTGCACTGTATGCTGAAAGCAGGGAGTACACCAGATTCCTCTTTCAGTTTTGTTTCACGGTCAGTACACCGTGCAGCTGCACCTAGTTCTAAAACAGCTGGGCGAAGACAGCACAGTGAAAAGTTAACAGTCTGCTACATCCTTTGCATCCCTTTAAAAGAGGTTTTCTTTGTCTGATCTGACCCCTTAAGTCAGATTGCAACCACACTCTCCTGCTACCTGCTGCTATCACACATGAAAACATGCAACCAAAGCAAACAAAACAACTCATAAATTAATAGGCTGGTTCTCAGGAGGATATGTGGGGGAAACCATTAATACCATTAATATTTGTACATTTACAGTCCGATGACATACCAACACAGTGTTGCTCCATCACACTCACAGAGAAAAACAGGAGGGAAGATTAGGAAGAGAGACTAGTGACATAACAGAAATACAGCTTTCTTTAATTTATTTTATTTTATTTTGAAAAACAACATGTTTTGCTGTCATTTCTGCTCAATGGGATTAAACTGATGCAGTTGAAATAAACTGAGTTTCAGATCCCACTGATTCTTCTGAGACAGTATGTTGAGCTTAATCAAACAGAGCCTGAGTGTATTTATTCTATTTATTGTTTTTTGGTAGAGTGGTTTTATTCTGGCCTTGCAAGAGTGGCAAATTGTCGAGGGTGAACGCTACCACTCGCCCTATGGTAGCTGTGACACTGATACTAATTTTGATGTTTACCACTGTGAGCATCCCCTCTTTTTTAACATGTTTCTCCAAAACCTGTATATGCCTTTGATGACAATGGTGCCTTTCCAGATGTGCAAGCTGCCAGTTCCATGGGCACTAATGCACCTCCATACAGTCAGGCTTTTGAACTGAGTGCTGATAACAAGGCAGATGGCCCTTGTCTTCTTTATTCAGAAGGACAAATTGTCTATTTCAGATTTGACTCATCTGACAGCAGAACGTTTTTTCCACTTTGCCTCAGCCCATTACAAGTGGGATGACATGTTTACACATGGCTCCTTCTTTTAATGAGCATGCTTTAACCTGCATTTGAGGACTGTATGCTGTGAAGCACATATGTGTTAATGAGATTTGAAAACCATTGTATGTGTTGTTTTTAAACATTTTGTTGTTTAAATTTTTGCAGAAATCAAGGTTGTGAAAGACAGTGATAAACTGTGAAACAGCAGAAACCTTATCAGGCATTCTGGGAAAATGCCCATGAACCTAATGACAATATGTGACAGAAATGCTTACTGATTATCAATGATGCACTTACTCAAGGCCAAATTTGCCCAAAAGTTTGAACTGCCAGGAAACTCAATAGTAGACAAACCAAGCAAAAACACCCAGGCAGAAAATGACGACTGCAAAAGAAGTCCCTAACTCATGTGTCCCCTTCCCAGGCCAAATTATAGAAAGACAAATCCTTTGAAAAATTGCAAGACATAAAAAGTGGGTAAAAGTCACAGTGAAAAGTGCAATGCTCGACTCTTTTCCATTGCACATCTGGATAATCCTATCGAGCAGTAAATGTAAAATATTAGGTTATTTCTGAATTATAGATTGAGGTCAATACAGCCTCCATCTGTTGTCAGATGATCATAGTGTAAATCCAGCTTCCTGCTTGCTTAAAGACAGCACTTAGGCTGCCTCTTACTAAAAGCAGGGTGCCATCGTTTTTTAAAATCAGTTACATACTTAGATGTGCTCATAGATGTTTAGTGTGCTCAATATGTCAATATGCAAGATTTTGAATTACAACATATTCTAGCAGTCTTTACATAGCCCATCATCAGTCATCAGCTACAGACTACAAAGTAACTAATTTTGTTAGTGTTCAACGTAAACATCCAAGGTAGGAGGTAATGGTTAGCAATGTTTTATAATTAGCAGTAATTAATATTGATGAAATGTTTTTTATTTGAATTTAAAAGCAGAACATTGGAGGTTATCCAAGTCTTTAAGACTTTCCTGCAGTTTAACTAATTACTGTGTGTCATCTAACTCTATGGATGGCTAAAGCTTGGGATCATCTACATGGAAATGAAAATGTATACTATGCTGTAGAATGATATACTTTCCTGGGGCAGGACTGTATGTTAAACAGCTAAAATAAAACATTAACGTTATAAGTTGAGAGGTTAAAACTGTCAGTCAACCACCACTACAACTGCCAAAAAACTGTCCAAATAAGATCTAAAACACCAAACTCAACCATTATTACAAATTATGAGGACTTAAAACAAGAAACACTAAGTATAATGTATAAATAAAGAATGATATCAAATGTACACGAGGGACAGCGCGTAAAATGTTACCTTGAGTATACAAATCAGATGCTTAAAATGTTTATTCCAGTGGAATACTTTTGCAGCAAGACAAATCTTACATAGGCATCACACACATGGGCAGAATCCGGCCTAAAGGCAGAAAACGAACCATTCAGTAAACCCCACGCTGTTTTAAAATGAATGACACAATCTCCAAAACAACCTCATATCTAACGCACTTCCAGTATTGGAGACTCCACTCATAAGACAATGCAAATGCTCATAAATAGTGGGCTAAGATTTTCTTCATATAGTGATGCAAGTCCTTATCCGTTTTAGGGTCGTGGTGGTGCTGGAGCATATTCCAGCTGGGTCAGAAGTACACCCTGAATTTGCAGCATAATGACTTGTGTTTCATCACTGGTCTATGCAATAAGAAACTGGTACATCTGAAAACATTTTCAGTTGCTTACTGTCTGGCAAACTTTTGACTGTAGATTGATCTGACACGTAAAGTTCAGTATTATTTAGCAACATGTTTCAGTTCACCACTAGGGTGCTTGACCCTTTACTTAGAATATCAATTTGAACGTGGCCCTCCGGAGAGGACCTAAAAACTCTAAAACTCCAACAGGGGTGATACCTTATTTTTAACCTAATCATAGTTTAATATTCACGTTTCATTTGACTTTATTGATCTTTATCATGTTTAAAAAGGACCTCGAACGCCAAACTCCTGAGCCAAGTTATCAGTGGCACTGTGGTAAAGTTAGCCTTACGTTTAACAACAAAACAGACGCGGAACACATTTTTCATAGTGAGTCTAAAGGCTGTAACAGACCAACAAACACCGACTGTGAGTAAAAGAATGAAACTTAGTTTGTTTATGGCTTTTGTTTCCTACCTTTCGTTATGGCTTTGCTTTCCTGTTGCTTTGATGTGCGGAAACTTCCTCTGCTGTCTGTTCCGGTTTGAAAGACGAGCCTTCAAAATAAAAGCACGACCTCGACGTTTCTATGACCCCCCCTCCACACACACACACACACACACCTTAGACAGTAAAGACTAAAAATAGACATAGAAGAAAAGCCGAATAAAAAAGAATGTTGAAAAGAGAGAACTAAGAGAACTAACCAAAACAATAATATTAGCACAATATGAGCTAATGAAAGAAATGAAATAAAAAGACAGGACCAAGGTGGCTGTGCAAAGGGAAATCTAAATATTTTGTTAGAAATTGTATAGTTTTTGGTGAAGCCCCGTGCCTACTGATCGTGTCAACGATGAACTGCGATAAACAAAGCCACCTCCTGCACCTATTACTTTTCACTTATCCAAACCAGGGTCATGAGCGGGGACACTACGTCCATGAACCTTTTCTCTGATCGTTCTCTTTTCCTCCTGCCTGGCAGCGCCATTCTCAACATTTTCTTTTCATCATATCCACTATTTCTCCTCCGCACATGTCCAAAGCTTTGGATGCTTGGCCTAAGGTATTTAAATTCACGTACAAAGCAGAAGTACCCATTTTTAATAATAATAATAATAATATCTAAAGTGATTTAATAATATGGCATAATATATTGTTGGATTAATATTACAAAATCTGTAATAAATTATAAAAACAAATTAAAATAAATTGCATGGTAAATATACTAAATTAGAAGTAGCCAAAGCAACAATTACTTAATCATCTTGATTGTCTAATGAAAGCCTTTACACCAGGGGGCAGCCTTGTACCAGTGTTGAGACTTTTGCAACTGTTCTTTTAGCAAGTCTTTTTTTTCCAGCCCCGCCCCAATCCTTACTTACAGGTGCTTGTGTATTCACACTCTGTTGATGTGTCTACATGTTTTACAGTTATTTAAATCAACAATATTTAAAATAAGTACAATTTAAGTATGTGTATTATTTTTATTTGTTGTTTGTGTAAATATTCCCTATAATATAAAATGTAGCTTGCTTGTAATTCTTGAAATTTGAAGCTCAGATAAGTATAATATGTTTGTCTGTCTGTCTGAAGGACACAGAGGGAGTTTGGTTGTGTTCCAACCTAAGCTACCATAAATGTTTTTACATACTCCCCAAAACTTTGACTAGACTAGACTAAAACTTTGTTTGATTGCGTTGCTAAAATAATTTTTTAAATAGCTCAAACAAAGAAAGTCCTTCTGTTCCCCAATGGCTACACCCTAAAAAATGCTGGGTTGAAATAACCCAATTTGTAACCCAGTGCTGGGTCAAATATGGACTGAGCCAACGCTGGGTTGTTTCAACTTAACAGGGTTGGGTTATTGGTTTGACCCAGCACACTAGGTTAGGAAAACTATCCAAAAAATTGGGTTATATTGACCAGTGTTTACAGTTGAGGTTAATAAAAAAATTGGATCGAAACTCAGAACCCATCTCATACTTTCTTTGTTCTATATACAGTGATTTCGAAACAGTTTGTCAAACAGAGCAACCTCACCCTCATTTCAGATAATAATTGTAACAGAAGATATCAAGCATTTTAAGTAAAAATAACTTTCTTCATCACAAGATAGCTGGTGTTATCTGTCAAAGACCTTTAATGAGTAGGTAAAGTTCTAGAATAAACAGAATAAACAAATTAATTGCACTGCAATTGCATATCAAAAATAACTCCATGATTTTCAAACTCTTAGAATTCACTTTTTACTTACCACATTTTATTTCATAGTAGTGGAGAAGTCCAGTGATGTCTGATCTTGTCACAGTCTAGTTGAAAATGGCAGTTTGTGAAGAATAATGTGGCTTCTTCTGAGGCTTATCTTCAATCCAAACAATCGGGTAAAAGTTTGACCCAATATTTGATCAAAGCTGCCCAACCTATGACCCAACTGAATTAGTCAAGCTGTGGAGTGAATTGAAGAACCCGGCACATTACCAACCCAATGTCTGAGTGATGACTTTTGAACCAATATTTGGTCACAATAACCCAACTTACAGTGGCTTGCAAAAGTATTCGGCCCCCTTGAACTTTTCCACATTTTGTCACATTACAGCCACAAACATGAATCAATTTTATATTGGAATTCCACGTGAAAGACAAAGTGGTATACACGTGAGAAGTGGAACCAAAATCATACATGATTCCAAACATTTTTTACAAATAAATAACTGAAAATTATGCGTAATAATTCAGCCCCCTGAGCAATGTTCCCTCTAAGCTGCGCACGTGCGCAATTGCGCACTGCTGGCACGGTCTCTGCGCACAGAAAATCTGCGTTACACACAAAAAAAATCTACCTGAATTGAAATTAAAATTAATACTTTAACAATTCTGTTTTGCAGTGTTAGTTAGTTACCAATAAAATTGAAATATGTTTGTGGCTGTAATGTGACAAAATGTGGAAAAGTTCAAGGGGGCCGAATACTTTTGAAAGCCACTCGATGTAATAGAAATTTCCATACATAAAATGAACAGCGTCTTTTTTTCATGATTATAAAATAGATTTCTTGTAACTACTTTTTCCTTGTCTTGTGTCATATCATAACTGTGTGACATGTTTATTAAATATCTTTGGGCTAAAAAAACAAAAGAAAAGAAAACTAGGGCAAACAAAACAAAGTCATGTATATAGAGACAATCATAGAGTAGCGATGACAGATGGACTGCATGTATTGTCTAAGTTGGGTGTGTGCACGTGTGACGTCAAATGTACATATGCGGGAAGAACAAAAGGGGCTTTTGGTTTTCAGACGAAAATATTTAATCATATGAGGTTAAAGTTCTTCTGTTCTTTGTCTAAATGCTGTGGGTATGAAATTCCTTTGGTAGTTCACATGGTGCAACAGCAGCCATCACACAAACCCCAATGAAAGGGAATAGATTGAATTTATGCTTCCCGTATTGTGCTTAAGCAAACTTTTATTACTTTTGGTGGTCTTCAGGTATGCTATGTGTACAATTTAAATTTAAATGCAACTTTTTCACCATTCATTACACAGACAGTCTGAGTTTTCGTTATCGTCTGGATTCTCAATTCTTTATTTGTTTCATGGTTGTCAAGCAATCAAGACTATCCCTTGAACATCGGGTGTTCTGGAAATAAGTAAAAAGCAGTTAATTTGGGAAAACAAAGCAATTTCTTAAGAAGTAAAATAATTTTGCTGAGCTGTTTTAATAAAGTAGAGAAAAAGTGGATTTCTGCATCACCAATGGTGACGTAAATAAGACAAAAAGCAGCTCAAAAGCAGTAATGCTGAATATAAAGGAGAGAAAAAATAGTTGTTCAAAGCAACCATTTTCACATGGGGGATAGAAACTTCAGTTTCATGACTTATAAATTTTAAATTTACATACAAAACATTGGCATGGCTTCCCATGTCTCCAAGTAAATGGACTTTGGTTAGAGACCTGAAATACTGTCGTGGTGAACACAAAAAACTTACATGTTTTGAGTTTCCCTCTGTGTGTGTGCACAATACTGTAGTTTTTAATACTGAGAGCAGTGTGTCAGGATTTATAAGATGAATCATTATCAATTTCAAACTCAAATATCTTATTTTAATGCTTTTACATTACAATATAAAACAACTTGAGGTGACTTGTTGTTTACAACTTATTGTAAATCGGGGCCCATATAAATAAAACTTTATTGAACTGATTTGTTTGTTAATTACAAAGTTTTTGTAATTACAAAAGGAAAACGTTTTCCTCTCGTTGGGCATTCTGAAGTAAAAGGTCATTACTTACAAACATTGCTCTTGCATAAGATGGAGGGGACATTTCAAGTAGGGCATACTGTAATAACCAGAAAACTCACACTGATACCTTTAACCAACCACTGCTGAAAGAGTTTACAAAAATAAAATATAAAATAAAAAAAAATAAAAAAACGGAGACCAAAGATAATGTCTGAAGTTCCTGGCAACCGGATTAGCCCTGCTTTCACAGTACATTACTGTCAGACAGACAACCATGAAACTTTTCTCGTACTACAACATGCCCCAGCCTACTTTTGCCTAATGACTTTCTTTTGTGCAGAGACTTTATCACATTCATCATGTCGCTCTCTGCACTGGTGCTGCTGCTGCTGCTCGTCTGTAGTGTCCAGGCTAATTTTTATGGTATAGTGGTGAACTACTACCCAAGTGGCAATAATTCAACAGGATCTTCCACTGTAAGTACACTTTCTTAAAAAAACAAGTAAATTTACTTTGTGAATTTTAAAATTATTTAGGTAAACATGTCTTCACTGTAAATCTGCAGGGCATCCTTTATTACAAGTTGGGCTACAGCTCCTGCTTGTACAGTGTGCCCTACTACATCAACGGTCAGCCACTTGTGCTACAAAAGGTCGATGAGCCGATAAGTAGAGAGTGGTGCCAAACTGAAGGAGTCATCTCTCAGTATTTTTCCAGCAACTCTATGTTTTCAATTCCGTGAGTGCACCCATACATAATTACATATGCATAAATATAGTCTTTGTTGTTGATTTGTCACTGAGGGGGAATGAAATTTAATACCACAACTTCTGAGAAGTCATTCATTTCTATTGCAGGGCCTCTGGCATAGACTGGATTTTTGGCATCAAAAATGGCATCGTATCATTTAAAATTCAGGCTCTGGTGGAACTGAGGATCCGCTCTGACATCGGCAAAGCCAACACATCACCACAGACCACTATCATACCAGCTATCAGGTCAGCCCTGTTTGTGGCTCCATTTCTTTTTTAGTAATTATACAAGCATACATACATTCATACAATTTTATGTGTCACTTCTGGTAAATTCATTGCCTTTCAGACACGGAAAGTTTCTGTGTAGAGATGGATAAGGATAGAGAAGTCTTAAAGTGAAAAATTAACCTTTGGTCCTCCTTCATTAATGCAATTTTGAAGCTCTTGAACCATAAAACCTGAACAGTGTCCAGGCTGTGGGTGTACTGAGTAGTTTTCAAACATGAACATATAAAAATGGTGTCAGATATTTCACAGAAATGAATGAATGAATGAATTTGATTATTTTATATTTTTTAAATTCATTTTAATTTTAACTTTCTTTCAGAGTTCCATCAAACTGTCCAAGAAATTTGAGCCTGTTGATGTTTGATCCTGATGGAGACATAGTGAAATGCAGAAATGGAGATGCATCACTCTCAGAGTGTAGTCCCTGCACACCACCGTCTGTTCTCAGCCTTTCACCAGTAAGTAACAGCTATTACTCTTTTTGTCACACGGGACATGTTGGCATAAACATGAATCCTCGTGTACCAATCTATACTAAATCTGATTGTAATGAATTTTTTTTAAACTATTTTGTAATAAGGTCGCTGCCATCAGGTCTAATATTTCTCCATCATCCTCTCAGTATCACATTTGCACTTTGCTTACTTCTGATGCCTGGTCCTCTTTTGCTCCTGTTACCTTAGAGGACATTAGTGCTCTGCTTGGTCATATGAAACTGACTTTAAACCACACTGACGCACTTCCTCCATCAGTTTTTTTAGTGTGTTTGACTCTATTGGCACCTGTATTCAGGAAAAAATTAATTCTTCTCTTTATACTTGCTCAGTTTCCAACTTTTTTAAGCAAGCTATTGTTAAACCAGTATTAAAGTTTAGATCCATCTCTTCCAGACAGTTACAGGCCAATATCATATTATTTGTGTCAAAGAAAAATCGGTTGCAGAACAACTTAACAACCTTTTGGAGAAAACAATGTTCTAGACATTTTTCCAGTCTGGTTTCTGCAAATTGTACTCCACTGAAACGCTTCTTACTTGAAGTGTCTAGTGACATTTTGATGGCAGCAGACACTGGAGAGTACACCGTTCTGGTTATATTGGATCTAACCTCTGCTTTTGATACTGTTGGTCACAGTGTCATGATAAAAAGGCTTAAGGATTTGTTCGGGATTACTGGTGTTGTTTTAAAATGCTTTATGCCGTATCTATCTGAGAGATCTTTTACCGTCTTTATGAATCAAGTGTTGTCCGAAACATCAGCTTTGCCTTCTGTGGTACCTCAAGGATCTGTTTTAGGTCAGATCCTCTTTTTGCTTTATATATTCCCTCTAGGCAAAATTATCAGATGTTACAATAATATTTCTTATCATCTCTATGCAGATGACATTCAGTTATACACTTCTTTCAAAGCTTCTGAGTTTTATAAATTGGCTTCTTTAAATAATTGTCTGTCAGTAATCAAACAATGGTTAAACAACAATTTCCTCGAGTTAAATACAGATAAAATAGAAACTTTGATTGTTGCTCCTGATCTTATGATTTCAGAAATTAAGCAGGATATCAGTTTTTTAGGCTCTTCCGTTCAATCAGGTTTCAGGCAAGTCTTGGACACCCAAATCAAGAGACTTGGGTCTCATATTTGGTTGTTCAATGTCTCTTGAGAAAAACTTCTAACAAACTAATTTGAAACTGTTTTTATCATCTAAGAAACATTTCTAAACTCAGCCTACTGGTGTTAAAGGCAGAACTTGAGATGATTATTCATGCTTTTATTTCTTCTTGATTGGATTATTGTAATGGTCTTTTTACTTGTTTCAACAAATCAGCTTTGGTTTGCCTTTAGACTATACAGAATGCTGCGGCAAGACTTTTAATTGGCACAAACAAGAGGTCACACGTTATTCAATTTTTTGCTTCTCTTCTTTGGCTACCAGTAAATGTAAAAAAATTAGTTGTAACTTTGTGAAAAGTTCTAAATAATTAATTTTTACTTACTTACTTGCAATGATGCTTGATCATAGCATCATTTCATATCATATCTGGCAAAGTTGGTCTAAAAAACAAATCAAAACCCCTGCTTTTTGTTAATTTAGATAAGTGTAAACTGTATGTGAGGTGTCTTCATGGCCCAATTTTTGTCTTCTTGCAGTCCTCTTGTACTCTGTCATTCAGCCCCACGAACAGCAGTGATGAAGGTTCGTATGCGGTACAGCTGATGATAGAGGACTTTCCCAGACAGAACATAACGTTGACTCAAACCAACGGGACACAAACAATAATAACAACCAACGACGCTATCAGCAAAATGCCAGTTCAGTTTGTCGTGAGAGGTACAAATAATTTCTCCTGGCTCCTGCTTAATGGCCTTGTTATTTTGGCCTTTTGATTTTGGCCACCATGCAGCTAACGTTTACTTTATCCTTACTGCAGGAAACCCAGATTTTTTTAAGATTTAAACTGCTTGTCTTTATGGCTGCTTATGAACTTGGAAAAAGCTTTCTCTTGGCTACCTGTAGATGAGAAAAACAATCCTGGTGGACCAGTTAGAGCAGTGGTAGGGAACGGTAGTCCTCGAGAGCTGGTGTCCTGCAGGTTTTAGATCTCACCCTGGGTCACCACACCTGAATCAAATGATTAGTTCATTACCAGGCCTCTGGAGAACTTCAACACATGTTGAGGCGCTAATTTAGCCATCTAAATCAGCTAGGCTGGATCAAGGACACATCTAAAACCTGCAGGACACCGGCACTTGAGGCCTGGAGTTCCCTAACCCTGAGTTAGAGTTTCTATCCTTAAAAAAGTCTTTATTATTGTCATCACTGCTTTGTGTGTTGTTTCAGTGGATCCTGCAGTGTCATCGTGCACAGAGGGACTCTTTCTACCGATGTTCCTGCCTCCAACCCCAGCCCACAGAACCCAGCTCTACACCTACGTCAATCAGACTCTGGCTATCAGCATCAAGGCACAGACAATTAACTCCACGTAAGTAGATCTCTAAATATATAATTAAAATACTTTATTTGTTAAATTACCAACGGTTAACATATCCTGCAGCACTGACTGTTTCTAAAATTAAAATGTAGCTTTAATGCCCAAAATCAAACCTATTTTTCATTCAATCAGATCATGAATCTTATCTTCTGAGTTGTGTAACTTTAGCACTTCTAACTGCACTTCTACAGACAGGTTTGACAAGCCAGCAACCCAACCGGTTTTATACTGACGTTAGGATGTACTAGCACTAGGTTAAGCTAAGACAATTAAAGAGAAACAAGAATAAAATAAATAGCTTTTTAGCCAAAA